TGCTCCAAGAGTGATGCAGATGCAGATGCCATATTGGTATTTGTTCAATAAATATTAGATTTATACTTGTCTTTTTTATATCTCAAAATCATGTTGTACGAGGATCACTAAATTTGGTACATAGGGGTTTTATGACATGTGGAATCTCACAGTGCTATGCTTTTTGGGAGAAACCAACTTAAGACACTTTTTTGGGGGCCACCTTGTGTTTGGAACAAGAAAAATTTGGTCGCAAATTAGATTTTTTTAAAAATTGTTAAATAGAAAGCCATTGAATTTAGAAACTTTTTTGTCTCTTGATTTGTTTCGTAAAACGCAATGTTTTTGAGGAAAATGGCAAATCACGATATGCATTCTATTACATTTTGACATTTTTATTGAAAACATTGCCTTTTACGAAAAAAGTATAAGGAGACAAAAAGTTTCTAAATTTAATGGCTTTCTAGTGGACTGATAATTTTTAAGAAATTTAATTATGCGACGAAATTTTTTTGGCCCACAAAAAATTGTCTTAAAATTGTCCCCCCAAAAAACGTAGTACCATCAGATTCCACATCATAAAACCCCTGTGTACCAAATTTAGTGATTCTCGTACAACAGGGTTCTGAGATATAAAAAAAAAGATTATTCTTAGGGGCGAACTTCAGGTTACAGGTCCCCTAAATTTGTCTTAAGACCAAATTTTGTTGCATGAATTTCGGGACACCCTGTATATTTGGTGATAATTCCTGACATGTACCATCTAGATCTTTCCATATGTTTTCCAAAGTACACCTAAAGGACTCCACAGGGTCCTTATGGAAATTGGCTTTCGGTCAAATTCGCTGAAACTTTGGGAAAACAGGTTCAAATGAGTAGAACAATAGTTATCAAGGGTACAAATCTCAAAAGTCTATAGATTTAGAGATATTTCCCTACTACAGTTTAGAATAGAGAATGAAAAGACCTTTCAAATAAGGTAGCACAAGACCCTACTTCCCATTTAAAAATTTAGGGGTTGCAACTACCACTCGAAGGGGCTGAATTTAGGACGTCATTTCAGAATCCAAAATCGACGTGTCTCATAATAATTGAGATACTGAATTTATTTGGCTGTTCCACTCTGTATGTATCTATATTATATGTATGTGCATAAACATACTCATATATTTGTTAGATTTACTCTCCAGGTTACAATCTACCACAACATATATATCTAAGTGCCGATGCCTAATCTGTCAAATGTTGCTTGTGTGTTAACACCACAGGAGGTAAAAATTCACTTAAAAATGGCAATTTAATAGAGAAGTATCTGAAAATTTATGGACTTTTGAACTTTGTGCTCATGAGAACTTTTGTTCTACCTCTGAAACCTATCTTTTCTCAAAGTTTCAGCGAATTTGACTGAAAGTCAATTTCCATAAGGATCCTCCTGGGTTTTTTGTTTGTAACACTTTTTTTCTTTAATGGCAATACTGACTGGACATATCAACTTATCTACAGGGCGATTCATAACATACAGTGTGTCCTGTTTTTCCTCTGAAAATGTGAGAAGGCTGTGGACTTTCCATAAGCCAATTTTTTTGCAAATAGTACCCTGAAGGGAGGTTATATTTTAGTAATCATTTTATTGATGCGACAAAAGCCTGACTTACTACGATTTTTAGAAAAAGTCATTTTTCCAAAAAGTGGTATTAGGCATTTTTTTATCAAAAAGATAATATTACCAGGCTGTTCAACACCCATCAAAATACCCAAATACCAAATTTGTTCGACAAATGTCTAATGCATGTTTTTTTATGGAGTGCCAAAATTCGAAAAATCGGATAACTAAAAATTATAATAAGCAGGTCAAAGATTGCTATGAAAGTGGAAATAAGTACCAATCGGACAAAGAAAAAATACAGACTATAAATTTAACACTTTATCAATATCAATATATATTATCAATACGAAGTTATTAAACAAAAAAATTGAAAACAATTAAATTAAATTTTAGTTTTCTCCAGTAAACCTCCTTCTAATCGAACACGTTTTTCCAATCGTCTCCTTAAATTTAAAAATACTTTACTAGCTGCTGTGGAGTAATTTCTGCACAAGCTTGTCTTATGCGATTCTTTAGGTCATTCAAATTCCTTGGTCTGCTTTTATAAACTTTTGTTTTATAAAACCCCCAAAAGTAAAAGTCCATAGGGGACAAATCAGGGGATCTTGGTGGTCATTGTACTACTGGACTCCTTCTCCCAGTCCACTTATTCCGAAACTGGTGATTAAGTCAATTAATGACTGCGGCAGTGTTGTGGATTGGAGCTCCATCCAACTGTAAATAAATATTTTTTCTTTCCAATAAAAGAATATCCTGTATAATGTCCCATAATTCATTATTTATGTTTATAAAAATAAAACAAAGTTTAAAACAAATTGTGATATTCATCACTTAAATACGAGACAGAAGNTCAAAAGTCTATAGATTTCGAGATATTTCCCTGCTACAGTTTAGAATAAAGAATGAAAAGACAATTTCCATAAGGATCCTCCTGGGTTTTTTGTTTGTAACACTTTTTTTCTTTAATCGCAATACTGACTGGACATATCAACTTATCTACAGGTTGATTCATAACATACAGTGTGTCCTGTTTTTCCTCTGAAAATGTGAGAAGGCTGTGGACTTTCCGCAAGCCAATTTTTTTGCAAATAGTACCCTGAAGGGAGGTTATATTTTAGTAATCATTTTATTGATGCGACAAAAGCCTGACTTACTAAGATTTTTTAAAAGAGTCATTTTTCCAGAAAGTGGTATTAGGCATTTTTTTATCAAAAAGATAATATTACCAGGCTGTTCAACACCCATCAAAATACCCATATACCAAATTTGTTTGACAAATGTCTATTGCGTGTTTTTTATGGGGTGCCAAAATTCGAAAAATCAGATAACTAAAAATTATAATAAGCAGGTCAAAGATTGCTATGAAAGTGGAAATAAGTACCAATTGGACAAAGAAAAAATACAGACTATAAATTTAACACTTTTAATTGAGGCCACAGTAAAATTAATAATTAACGTATTAAAAATGTAATGAATTATGAATACGAAGTTATTAAACAAAAAATTGCAAAACAATTAAATTTTAGTTTTCTCCAGTAAACCTCCTTCTAATCAAACACGTTTTTCCATTCATCTTAAATTTAAAAATACATTACTAGCTGCTGTGGAGTAATTTCTGCACAAGCTTGTCTTATGCGATTCTTTAGGTCATTCAAATTCCTTGGTCTTCTTTTATAAACTTTTGTTTTATAAAACCCCCAAAAGTAAAAGTCCATAGGGGACAAATCAGGGGATCTTGGTGGTCATTGTACTATTGGACTCCTTCTCCCAATCCACTTATTCCGAAACTGGTGATTAAGTCAATTAATGACTGCATGACTGTGACAGTGTTGTATTAATAAATATTTCTTCTTTCCAATAAAATAATATTCTGTATAATGTCCCATAATTCATTATTTACAAACTGAAGAAATACCTCACCATTTAAGTGTAAAAAAGGAAGGGACCTATTACCTGGTGCTTTGAAATTCCGCAAAACACATTAACTTTCTGGGAAAACAATTACAAAATTAGGATTATTTTCATTCCAAAATCTGATATTTTGAGAAGAAAAACTACCGACTGAAATTTCTACCCCAATCTAATAATCTCTATTTTTTTCTTGTAAAGATAAATATTCAGCCATGGTTGCAAGAGATTCTTACTTTATAACACTAACTAGTTTATCAGTAACAGTTAAATGTAAAAAATGTCAGCAATGAAGCTTTTATTTTTCATCATAGCCTCCTGTATTATTTCAATTATTGTTTAAAACATTATTTAAAAATTCAGTATAATTGGTAAACTACTGTCATAACGTAAGAATATCTTCCAATTATAGAAGAATTTTCTTACAGAATAAAAGCTACCTATGTAAAGTATTTTTAAATTTAAGAAGACAATTGGAAAAATGTGTTGTACTGGAAGGAGGTTTGGTGGAGATAACTAAAATTTAATTTAGATTGTTTAGCATTTTTTTTTACAACTTAGTATTTATATTATAATTCATTACATTTTTAGTACGTTGATTATAATTTTTACTGTGGCCGCAATTAAATGTTAAATTTATAGTGTCTGTATTTTTTCTTTGTCCGATTGGTACTTGTTTTCATTTTCTTGGCAATCTTTTACCTGCTTATTATAATTTTTAGTTGTCTGATTTTTCGAAGTTTGGCACCCCATGAAAAACACTCAGTAGACATTTGTCAATCAAATTTGGTATATGGGTATTTTGATGAGTGTTGAATAGCCTGAATATTATCTTTTTATAAAAAAATTTTTAGTACCACTTTCTGGAAAAATGACCCTTTTAAAAAATCGTAGTAGGCCAGGCTTTTGTAAAAAAATTAGTTTGCGGAAAGTCCACAGACTTCTCACATTTCAGGTGTTAACCTGAAAAACGGGACACACTGTATGTAAAAAAATTAGAAAACAGCATAAAAAATGTTGCAAGCAAATGTATTAAAAAATTTCCTCTATTAATATGATTAGATACAGAATTGGAAACTGTTTTCAAATTCTGTGTTATAACAAATATAGAGCCTTCATAAATGTTTACAAGCCACGTGACCCCCAAGCTTAGGCAATAAGGCAACCCAATATTGCATGACTAGTACTGGTAACGAAAAATCTCTAAATCTTGGCATCACCAGTACTATTGATTTCTTTACAATAAACAGTAACAAACCGTTGTGCTTACACTCAAGATAATGGGATCACTGATGGTTGAATAGAATCTTGTAAAAAATTACACCCATCACAGTCAGTGAAACAGAATGTTGTGTTTTAATGTAATCTTAACCTTATTGATTTAGTTTTGCCGAAATTTAATTGCCAACATGAAGGAAATTAAATTACTGTTTCAAACAAAATTACTGGTCACATGGCTTGTAATCATTTATGAAGGCTCTGTAACAATGATACATACTTTTTGTAGGTTACAATTTCTACAGTCGACTTCATGAAAAATCAGTTAATATTCAAAGCAAATCTGTTTGAAATGGATGGTAGAATTCTACTTGATTTCCGACTCTCTAAGGGCTGTGGTTTAGAATTTAAGAAAAAATTTTTAAAATTAAAATCTTGTCTTTGTGATATCATTGATAAATAATATGAAGTATTAAAGTATTAAATCAAGTTAAGTATTCTGTTAATACAAGCATTTTTGTTATAGTTTTTTCAGTTTGATAATAAATTGTTTTAAAAATATTTGTTATTCAATAATTAGTCTCTCATCAATTAAGCTCTTTCGTTAAAGTTCTTAGTTGATAAGAGTTGTTATATTCTGAAAGTTTAAACAGAAAATAAAACTTCTTTACAGAATTTTTTCTAAAAAATTAGTTCTCTGGGAACAATGAAAGCTGATAATTTAATTCCTGTTTCTAAATTTGACTCGTAATATTGATTTACGCCTTACTTGTCTTACAGGTAGAAACCCAAATACAAGTATAATTTTTTTTATCCTGATCCTCAGAAACATTCTGAACTTAAAAGTTAATCAATACAGAAAAAATCTATCACATATCTAAAACAAAGTAATGAAAGTAAAATTTATAAAAAAATAATAAAAAGGAATAATGTAAACAAAAATAGTGAAAGTTATGACAAATAAAAAAAAATTGAGCTTTCAATGAATTAACATTTGGAAAATTAAGAAGCAATGAAAAAGAACAGGTAAACATATTCAATATTCACTATTGTGTACTATGATTCTTCTCTAGCAAAAGTATTCGTATAGGAGAGCATGCAACACACAGAAGATCTGTACTG